AGACTTGGACTTTGGGGGACTCAGTGAGTCGGGCTATGGCTCCCCAACCTTTTCTGTTTCTGATCGAATTGGTTGATTCTAGAAGAGGACTCAACAAGATGGATGTGAATATGGACTTGAAGATCAAAGAACTCGACGAGTTGAAGGAAGAACTCAACAAGTCAAGGACTAAACATTTCAACTTGTATGAAGCAGGACTCGACGAGTTCAAGGATGAGCTCGACGAGTCATAAGCAAAAGGTCCTGATTCTGTATAAAGGAGAACTCGACGAGTTCTTGAAAGACTCAACGAATAGGATCAAAGTTCCAGGATGTTGTGGGTTTTGGAACTCGACGAGTTGGTGGACCAACTAGGCGAGTTGAGTCAACCATATGTTGAATTTGACCAAAAGTTGACTTTGACCAGGATGTTGACCTTGACTTTGACTTTGACCTGAGTTTACCCTTGAAAGGGTTAAGACTATGAAATGGTAATTAAGGGAGGTTATTATGTGTAGGAGTTTGAGAGGAGTTGATCCCAACACCAAGGACAGTTCAGATACTGCATGAAATTGAGGTGAGTTACCTTCCAGTTAATGATAAATCTAAACTAATAATTAGTCGCAATAAAAAGACTAAAATCTAGTAATAATGATACTAGGTTTCGTCAAAGGAAAATAAAATTGTTAAAAGCGAAACGTTGCCCGAGTTTGGAGTCATCACTTTAACAAGTGAGTGCATAGTTACTTTCATCTTACACATAGATATGAAACATTTAATATAAATTACGTGCTATGTGTGTATATTATTTGTGTTCTTGATATCTATGTTGGATGAACAAAATATACATGTTTTATAAATTTAAAATGTATATGTATGTTTATACCTATAAATATATTGGGTAAAGATGGGTAGATGAAAGATGAGATGAATAATGAGAGATGAAAGATGATAGATGATAAGAGGTGAAAGATGATGAGAGACCTTGACCCAAGCGATGATCCAATCATCTAGTAGAGTATAGATGATGACCACAGACTATTCTAGACAATCCAGTGGAACGCTAGCAGGCTCGTGACTAGTAGGTGTTGTGAACAATTTGTTCACCAGATGTACTCTAAAAACCCTGGCAGCTATGGACTTAGTGCCTTATAAGTGAACGTTGGTAGTTATGGATTTAGTGCCCTATAAAGGAACATTGGCAGTTATGGACTTAGTGCCTAATAGTTAACATCGGCAACTATGGACTTAGTGTCTGTTCGATAAACCCTGATAGTGGACTTTGTGTCTATTCCTTTGGACAATCCTTAGGAATGAATGAATGAAGAATAGATGATTCTTAGGGTAGATACTTTAGAATAAAGAAGATAATGGGGATGAGAAGTTGGGTTAATTGTTTTATGATTGAACATAATAACTATATTATTGTGGGTTGAAAACTCTATATACTCACCAGGTTTCCCAACCTAACTTACTCAGTTTATTTGTATCACAGGTGTCGATACGAAACTACATTACGTTGAGAGATTAACAAAGATGCAAATCATTAGTATAAATGAATGTAAGGTCTATTTAAGCTTATGTTTCTGTATTGACGATGACATCTCAACGTTTTAATATAAACAAAATACATTTCATCGGAAATGTTTTGATAATATATTTATCATGTTTTTTAGGAACAAATTCTGCAATATTATTCTTTAAAATGGATACTCTGATTTTTAAATAAGCATAAATAAAATTTTTAAAATGATCGTGAATTTGAAGATGTCACAAAAGCTACAGTAGTTATAAAAACACATGATAAATACAATTAATAAGACTTTTATTGATTTGTTGTAACAAATGCATTTCTAGGCCACATATATTATGGAGCTCTATTTTGGAATTTCATTTAAATGATATCTTTATGATTGTAGTAATTATATTTATTAAAGAGAATAAAAAAATCCCAAAAACGATATATAGATAATCATTATTATGTTTTCTAATAATAAAAAATGAGTTTTTTTTAGTGAAAGAGGTGTATATGGTATCTTTATTTTATGTTTTTTAACAAATAAATATAAATTTTCTTCAAATGACTTTAGTATATATAAGTAATAAGAAAAATCTCCAGAAAAATCATTAAACTTTAACGAAAAAGTGATCATTGATTTTTAGTTTTTATTTTGCAATTTAACTCTTAAAACCGACACAAATCGATTACAAGAGTTCTTTTGCAAGTATTTACCGGTTTCAATTGTTAAAAACACATGCTAAATATAATTAATAAGACTTTTGTTGATTTGTAGTTAGAAGTGTGTTTCTATGCCACATACATCATGGAGTTCTATTTAAGAATTGTATTTAGATGATATCTTTATAATTATAGTAATGATAAAAAGGATCACAAAAAAAATCTCAAAAATTATATAAATAATCATTATTATGTTTTTTAATAAATAAAAAAATATGTGTTTTTTAGTGAAATAGATGTAGATGATATCTTTTTTTTTATAGTTTTTAATAAATAAATATATATTGTCTTCAAATAACTTTAGTATATATAAGTAACAATATCTCTAGAAAAGTCTTTAAACTTTAATTTTATTAAAGAAAAAGTCATTCATGATTTTTTTTTTTTTTTTTTTTTGCAATTTAACCCTTAAAACCGACACTAGCCGGTTACAATGATTCTTTTACAAATGTTTATCGGTTTCAATGGCTAAATTGAAAATCAAAAGAGCCAAAATATAAAAACTTTTTTGCAAGAATTCCAAATCAATTACGATATTATATTTTGACATTTAGGATGAGATTTTTGATTGTATGTTTTTAAATTTTTGAGTAGTAATACACAAAGTATTTTCTTATTGCCCAATATAAATACATATTCTTAGGGCGGTAAATGAACCGAACAAAGACTTGTTCATATTTGTTTGTGTAAGTTAGCCGAACAACCCAACGAACACGAACAAATTTTTTTGTTAATATTCGTTCGTTTAAAAAAATTACATTGTTCATGTTCGTTCGTTTATGTTCGTAAACATGTTAAACAAACATAAACGAACGTAGATAAATAAATATAACTTAACATATATGAACATAAACGAATATATAATACAGTAATGTAATCAAATACAATTAAACATACATGAAAATGGAAATGACTTAAATAGACGAATATAAATGAAAATTAACGAACATAATTAAACGAACGAGATTATTATTAACCTTTGTTCTTTAAACGAACAAAAATTTATATTCCTATCCATTATTTATTAAATAAACGACATAAATAAAGTTTCCACCTCCTAATAGTCAAAAAACAAGACAAAACTGTAAATTTGGTCCTTGTGGTATTTGAACAACTTTGGATAGGGTCCAAAAAGTTTCCAACTTGCATGGAAGGTCCAAAATCAAAGTTTTTCTAAGTTTTTGGTCCCTAATACACTTGAAAAGTTGATTTTGCCCTTTTCATTTTTTTTCTATTTTCTTTATTTATTTTGGTATTTAAATAATTAAAAATAAAAAATAAAAAATACAATTTCACCCAACCCCCCCCCCCCCCTCTCTCTCTCTCTCTTTCTACAACCAGCACAACGCACACTCTCACACTACACACTTCCGGCAGCTTCATCTTCAATTGCCCACTTCATCTTCTCCGACCTTGGTTAAATATTCTTCCAGGTTTTCAGTTCACATCATTTTCTCTTCTGGGTTTTTGATTTGCACGAAGATGGGTAAGATCAGCAACCAAAAACCCTTTTAATTACAGGAATGAAGATCAAATCAGGGATGCCATGAGTTTTAGCATCCCGAGTCGTCAGTAGAGGCAAGGTTAGTGACGAATGCTTGGTCTTGCTGGAGAAATCATACCAAGTTCTTCCAACAAGTGGGTTCAATCGATTCAATCCGGGGGCATTTGATTAACATGGGAAGAAGATGATAGTTGGTAAATTGGTTTTAAAGGTTTTCCAGCATGAGAGAGAGAGAGAGAGAGAGAGAGAGAGAGAAAGAGAGAGAGGTTGTTGCTCTGAATCCTTTAATTGATTTCTTTTTATGTATATAAATCATCTGATTTACTTACAAAGCTTTCACAATCTCATGTCTTGTTAGGAATCGTCTTTATGCCCAAATCTTAAGTCGATTCATATGTTTTCCCAAAAGAATCAACATTACAATGTTTAATTAAAGGCAATTGATTCACAAATACACCTTTGGTGCATCTATTTTCATCAACCTTCTTCTAACTTCAGCTTTACACCTTCTGAATAATTTTACTGGGATAGAGATTTAACTTGCAAACCATCACAAGGCTCCCACTCATCCATTAATATATAAGTTTGATTCGCATTCCTGATAGTGAAACAGAAACACGACTAGATTTACGAGTGTTTGTGTTTTTTTGAAGAATCCCGTTCTTGAATTTTAACAAACCTAGAGAGAGAGAGAAGGGGGGAGAGAGAGGGAGGTCGGATGAAATTTTATTTTTTATTTTTAATTATTTAAATATCAAAATAAAAAAAATAAAGAAAAAGAAATGAAAAAGGCAAAATCGACTTTTCAAGTATATCAGACCAAAAATCCAGAAAAAATTTAATTTTGAACCTTAAATACAAATTGAAAATTTTTTGATTCCATCCAAATGTTTTTTTTGAATAGCGACCAATCTTTCAGTTTTGTCCAAAAAACAATTAGCTGAACCAGCCCTCGTGTTGTCATTGTCTGTACGTACACCATAATTAAAAAAGAAAAAGAAAAGAAAAGTGAAGTAGTTCACTGACTCGTAGAATGTAGAATCCAATCACTCCAAAAGCATAAACGCAAAGCCAAGGATTCAAACGAACAACACACTCTCAGTCTCTCTCTGTGAAATCAATGGATGAAATTAAGCACAATTACATCGAAGTCGACGGGTTAAAGCTCCACGTAGCTGAAATTGGGTCTGACCCTAGTGGTCAGGATAACAACAATCATCACCGGCGGTGGTTTTTCTTCACGGATTTCCGGAGATCTGGTACACATGGCGCCATCAAATGATTGCCGTCGCAAACGCCGGTTTCAGAGCAATTGCACCCGACTACAGAGGATACGGGCTATCCGACATCCCTGCAGAACCGGAGAAGACCTTATTAGTTGATTTGGTCAAAGATACTGCCTCGATCCTAAATTCTCTCGCCATTTCTAAGGTACATATCTACATAAGTGTGCTAGTGTCTTCCAATTGTAAATCATTGATTGCAGAGAAACAGAGGATACTGTGGAAATTCATTGATCCTAATGTTAAGAAATCGAATCCTAATTCCAAATCAGATGTCACTTTTAATTGCTTGAACTCGGTGAATGCAAATCGTGAATTATAAAAATATTACGTTTTAACTATCAAAATCAGGAATATATTCGAGCACTATACACCATAGAATTCAATACACTAGCAGTGATTTGAGGATTGGTTGCTACAGATTTTGCTCATTCATGACTCATAAGTTTCTGTTGCAGAAGTATTACTTCTTCCTCCCTCAAAAGCAATATTCATCTGCACCGCAGTTTTTCCTTTTCATCAAACCACCTTGATTTTTGTAGGTGTTTGTGGTTGGTAAAGATTTTGGAGCAATGGTTGCCTACCCGTTCGCCCTTTCATACCCAGAGAAAGTTGCCGGAGTTATAACACTTGGTGTGCCATTCATGCGTCCTGGTGGTGCTAGCCATCTTCAAACCCTCCCTGAAGGCTTCTACATCCGAAGATGGCAGGTACACACCACACTCTCTCTGGTTCCTGATAAAAACAAACATACATAAATACTTCTTTTTTGGAGCCTGAATGTTGGTTGATAACAATATGATCTGAATTTTGTTCAGGAATCTGGAAGAGCTGAAGCTGATTTTGGTCGTTTTGATGCTAAAACAGTGGTGAGAAACATCTACATTTTGTTCTCTAAAAGTGAAATACCAATAGCCCCTGAAAACCAGGAGATTATGGATTTGGTGGATTCATCCACTCCTCTACCCTCTTGGTTCACTGAGGAGGATCTTGAAATATACGGGGATTTATATCACAAGTCTGGATTTCAAACCCCACTCCAAGTTCCTTACAGGTAATTTATGTTATGTAACCTATCATCTTAATCTGTAAATAAGAATCACCCTCCCTCTTTCATGTTGTTAATATTGTTAATCTTTGTAGGTCATTCTCAGAGAAAATTGAATCTCCAAACCAAAATGTGATTGATCCAAAAGTGGAAGCTCCAGCTTTGTTTATAATGGGTGAAAAAGACTATGTTTTCATGTTTCCTGGAATGGAGGAATATTTGAAGAGTGGTGAGGTCAAGAAATATGTACCAAATCTGGAAATCATATACTTGCCTCAAGGTTCTCATTTTGTTCATGAACAATTCCCTCACCAAGTCAATCAGATCCTACTCAATTTTCTCAATTCCAACAAATTTTAGTGATTCTGCTTCAATAATATAAAGATCTTGAGTTTAAATCCCACACTTGTTGTGGTCTAGATGTTATTATGAATGTATCATTTGGACCATTTGTATGTCACATTTATTTTACATAGACAAGTTATTAAATGGTAACGTGTGTTTTAGGTTGCGGATTGGTTATATTTGTAAAGTATTTAACTTGGTTGTTAATATAGGTACAAAGTTACATGCCTTCTATTGTTTGATATAAATGGATATGCATTATCTTTATCAGGTTGAGACAAATAAATGAAGTTATATTTGGTGCAATTTGTGGCACATAACTATGTCTAGACAACTAAAGTTTGCTTATGTATATCATTCATTGACCTATTTAAATGTTCCTAAAATTAATGGTAACAACAATTGTGGTCAGAGTTGTGAAAGGTGATAAAGTTAAAAGGGTAATAAAACAAAAACCTCAATTTGTTATTTTTTATGGTTTTTAGTGGCGGGACACCATATTTGAACATGACGGTGTTTAAATCTCAAGTAATTATCATTAGGATAATACATAAAAGGGTAATATACTTTTCAATTTGTACACATTTGGTCACTAAGTTTTTTTTTCATCTATGTGTTACCCTTCAACTTGTTTAAATATACACATTCAGTCTTTATGACTGGTTACTCCAGGTAAGTCGAAAAAATGAATTAACAGGGTAATATATTTCTCACTTTGTATACATTTAGTCCTTAATATTTTTTATTGCAAAATAAATCTTTGTTATTTTTGCACGGTTTTAGTACAACTGAAACAATTTATTTAGGTTTTTCTCACGATATCATAGAAATTCAAAGGACAATTATTAATAATATGTTTAGGGTTATTTATGCTTATGGCCACCACGGCCTCGGTTGCTTGGTTCTTAGGTCTTGTCTTCCAAATGTCGTAAATTCTTCACACGATTGTTGATTTTAACGATTTTGTATATCTACGCACTTATATTTGAGTCTATTACAATTTTTGTTTAGATTAATCTCGTTAAAAAATAATATATTTTTATTTACGATTTTATAAATAAATAACGTTCATACATACATTTATAAAGAACACATGTAGATAAAGATCATAAGTAAGAATATATTATTTTTTAAGAGAAATAATTTAAAGGAAAGTTATAGTAAACTCAAATACGAACATGTAAATATAAAGATCCTTAAAATATGAGATTATATGAAGAAGTAACGACGTTTAGAACACAATATCTAAGTCAAACCACAAGACCTAAGCAACCAAGCAGCTTAGATTATTCCCTTTAAATAGTAAGATATTTGTACTTACGATTTTATAAAAAAAAAAAAACTTTTCGTACGTATATTCATAACGAAAGCATGATATAAAGATCGCAAGCAAACATATATTACTTTCTAACGGGAGTAATATAAATGAATTGTAATAAACTGAAATACAAACGTGTGGATAGAAAGATCGTTAAAGTCCGAGAACATATGAAGAAGTTACGATGTCTAGAAGACAAGACTTAAGCACCAAGCAATCGAGACTGTGGTGGCCATAAGGTTGAATAACCCCGAACAACTTATTAACGATTGATCAATGTAGGATGTCATAAGAAAAACTAAAGAAGTTATAAGTATTGAATATGTACAAAGACAACAAAGACTTATTTTACAAGCAAAAAAATATTAAGGACTAAATGTGTATAAAGTGATAAATATATTATCATATTAAGTCATTTTTCCGGTTTATCTAAATTAATCAATTATAAGGATTGAATGTGTACAGTTAAACAAGTTGAATGAGCAAATGTAGATAAAAAATGACCTTTTTGTCTTATTTTTTTTTTCTTTTAAAAATGACCCATTTGTCTTTACACTAAACCCTAAAAATTTTATATATAGCAACCAATTGTAGTTTATTCATAAATTTAAAATATATTTTAATTAATAAAAATAGAAGATAAATCCTTTTTGTCTTGTTTTTAACCAAAATGTTGCGTTTTGAGAAAATATTTACAAAATATCGATGGATTTGAACGTTGCTAATGCTCATTATCTAGTACTATTTAAGACTTTTTTTTAAAATTATGTTTGATTGGTATAATTATGCATCCATGTCAATTCAATAAGTATTTTCAAACAATTTCTTTTTGCTCTCCACATTTTACAAATTTCTAAGAACAGCTCAATCATTTCTTCTTCAACAATAATTTTCAAAGAATATGTTGTCATGTTTTTATAATTTTACAAATTTCGAAGAATTTTTCATCACTTGTTCTATTGTTCTACGACTACAAGCTATAAATCCAAGACAACAAACCATCACTTATGTTACAACTATTACCATTTGAAAGGTGAATGATCCATTTTTAATATGATTTAATGCACGATTTACACACACATGAAATAACTATATAATAGAGAACCTATTTATTACTGAATATATAAATAATAATATTATCAATATAACAATAATTAACTAAATAATATAATAATAAAACAAATAGTTATATTAAATCTAAAAAACAATAACTAAATAACTTAAACAACATGTAAAATATAAAAGTAATAAAACATTACACACATGTTACGGGTGTCAAAATCGGTAGATAGGTTATGCGATCAACGCCCGCCACTGTTGACTTTTTCTTGTTAAAATCGTCTTCAAGTTCACCAACAGAAGTCGAGCAAGTGAGCAACCATGGATCAGATAGTCCACAAGTTCGTGGAAGTCAACGGAGTGAAGCTCCACTTAGCCGAGATCGGAAGCCAGTCGTCGCCGGTGGTGGTGTTCCTCCACGGTTTCCCGGAGATATGGTACAGTTGGCGCCACCAGATGGTTGCCGTCGCCAATGCCGGATATAGAGCTATTGCTCCCGATTGTCGAGGCTACGGACTTTCAGATCCACCTCCAGACACCGAGAAATTCGGATTCTCCGATCTCGTCGACGATCTTCTCGCAATCCTTGATTCCCTTGGAATTGACAAGGTACATCAACTAATCCAATAAGTAGGTTATGAAATCGTACATACGTACATTCACTGCTTTTGGATTCCACAATTTCAATGACAGTTCCTTTTTTTTTTAGATTTCCATAATTGCTAAAGATGCCGGAACTAGACCTGCTAACCTGTTTACGCTGCGGTATCCTACAAGGGTAACCGGAGTCATATCACTTGGAATACCACATACGCCCTTCGGACCCCCTGAATTCCTCAAAGAGTTGCCGGAAGGTTTCTACATCAATAGATGGAGGGTACGTTATCATAAAACGATGTTCTAAATTTCTAATACGTATACATCCCAAACAGTTCTGGTGTTAAGCAACATTACCTTTTCTTTTAGGAATCAGGAAGAGCGGAAGCTGATTTTGGGCGTTTTGATGCAAAAACAGTTGTACGAAACATTTATATCTTGTTTTCCAGAACTGAAATCCCAATCGCCGATGAGAGCCAAGAGATTATGGATATAGTCGGCCCATCGACACCTCTGCCGCCGTGGTTCACGGAGGAGGATCTTTCGGTCTACGGAGCTCTGTATGAGAAATCCGGTTTTCTTAATCCACTCAAAGTTCCCTACAGGTAACTAATTTCAGTCGATACAATTTTTAGCACCAAATTTCCTATATAATACATGGATTATTTATAAAATTGAAAAATAATGACAAAATATTATCGGGTTGTGTTTTTACAGGTCAATGGATGAAGAATATGACATAACAGACCCGGTAATCAAGAATCCGATGTTGCTGATTGTAGGGGAGAAAGACTATTTCTTTAAGTTTCCAGGAGTGGAAGGCTTTGTGAAGAGTGGAATGGTTAAACACTTTGCGACGAATTTGGAGATAGAATATGTGCCTGAAGGAAGCCATTTTGTTCAAGAACAGTTTCCCGACAAGACTAATCAACTAATTATCGCATTCCTGCATAAACATAGCTCGTGATAATCATGTGGGGTCTTCACTCTTCTGATGCTAAATGTTTTAAACCTTATTTAAATAAATGTATGATTAAATATCAATGTCTCATATGGGAGTTATTGCTGGTTCATCAATCAAGTATCATGTATCATGTTATGTTGATACGTTCCACTTTGATAATTATGGGGAGTTTTTCAGAAAAGCTCTTATATTTAACCTTTTATCTGAAAAGCAATTACCTTTTTTTTTCCAGAAAATTAATTCATCCATGTTTCTAAAAGGTTTCACAAAAGATTCATATTTAGCAAACTTTTCAAAAACCATAATTTTTAAGAAAAAGAAACATTTGTTACATAATGCGACGTTCTTTCTTCCCTTGACCATGGAAAAAGTATATTACTAAGGTTATGTGTTGATTGTTATAGTCTTCAAAAATCTTTCACCCATTTTGTGCCATGTCACTTCCTCCTCCATTTTCACTTCATTTTTCAACCATATTATACCTTTCTTTTAGCCATCTACAAATCCTAATGTATGGTATACAAGTTGAAAAGAAGAGAAAGGAGAGATACAACAATAGAGAAGAGGGGAAGTGAGAGGAGAGTGACATTGGAGTCACAACCATTGGTCAAGGCTGGTTCAGACGGTGGGCAACATGGGCGACCGCCGATGGCCTACGTCTCTAGGGAGCCCAAAATTTCTAGGTTATGTAGTGTGTGTGTCTATATATATATATATATATATATATATATATATATATATATATATATATATATATATATATATATATATATATATATATATATATATATATATATATACTATCTTATAAAAGAAATCTAACTATTTCTAAAAATAGATTGATTATAATAATAATATTTTTTAAGACGTCCAAATGATAAAGCTGATAGTACAAGTAATCATTAATAAAATAATATTAAATTTTAACTATATTTTGAATTCAAATATTTATCATCAAATCTCTTTATATTTCTCAACAATTTGATATGTTCCCTCAAATCTCGGATTCATTCAAATTTTGAACCCTTTTAGATATCCTTAAATTTAGCATGTTGATTCAAATATCCCTCCAATCGCATATACCTCTTTGCTCCCTCCTCTGCTATAAAGCCCACCGTCTAGGAACAAAAAATGACTTCATTTCCCAAATAACACCATAGTTTGATTATTTTGTCTTCGACATGTACTTTCTTTTGTAACATAACATTTTTGTAGATGGAACATATCACCGAAATAATTTACACGATCCGCCGCTTTGCGCGGGTACACTGCTAGTATATATAAGGTCTAAAGTTGGTTCAAACTCAAACCACTTCAAAAGATAAACAATT